ATGTTACATAAATTCTTATCTATCCTACTCCTAGACTAAGAACTCAAATTGTAAAAATTAAAAGATTGTCAATTTTATTTTATTATTTTGTTGTTTGAGATCACCATAGAGCTCATTATACCGCGATTAAAAGTAAAACCTATAGATAAAAATTGCACAAAATTATAACTTTTTTTGCTTTCAACAAATTCCTTATTTAAATCATGTCTCGAAGTTGCACTAGTTCAGGTACTGAGCCCTTAGATTGAATCATTCAAATGTTAACAGTAAAATATCGTAAAATGATTAACATTCCTTCACTAATATCAATTAATTTTCAAATGAGATAAATGAAACTCGATCCAACGTATTACGCTCCCCATCTAGTGAAAATAATGGAGTGAGTACCGTCCAAAGATCATGAAAAATGTTATTCATCCCCAGTGGGGATGCATCCCCAATCTATGTGGATGTAAATGATTGGTTAAAGATCATATGCATGTTCTCGTCTTAGCTGTTTTACCATAAATGGACATAAAGGCACAGAGAGAGAAATGTGTCCATGCAACTGCATGGAGAAGTGTGTAATCCTTTAATGAACATTTAATTCATTTACACCGAACCTTACCTATATTCATTAATAAGTAGTTAGGTGCACCGATAGGTCCAATACCCTCTCTCCCTACCACCTTTCTTGATAAACATTGAGACTAAAACTCCCTGCAATGGACGGCAAGAGAATGAGAGATAATTCACAAATTGAAAAGGGACCAACTGAAGATGAAAGAGGAAGCTCCACCATGCGCACGGCGGAGACACTGCTGCGCATCCTGCCGATGGCTTTGTGTGTGGTGGCGCTAGTCATCATGCTCAAGGATTCACAGACTAATGAATTCGGTTCCTTGTACTACTCTGATATTGGTGCTTTCAGGTATATTTTAGTGAGTTTTTGTGTGTTTTTAGCTTATAAATCAAGATGTATTGGTGATGATGAAAAGGGGCGTGTTTGTGCAGATATTTAGTGCATGCTAGTGGCATTTGTGCTGGTTATTCCCTTCTCTCCGCCATCGCTGCCGCCATACCTAAGCAATTGACCATGTCCCGAGCCTGGACATTCTTCGTTCTCGACCAGGTTTGCTCATGCTTAGAACATGTGATATGGTTCTTGGAAAGTCAAAAGCATCTTTTGAGACTGAGAATCTACTTTTAAACTTGAAAGTATTTTATATAATTAGAAGAGATTTATGACAAAATTGACCCAAGAAAACTTCGTCACGAAACTCTTCTCTAAGAAACAAAAATAGAAACAGGCCCTTGTTCTGTTCTATTTCTACACGTTCGAAGGCCGTCACATAAAAAGATTCTAACTAGGCATAAGACTAGTTTTTTGTTCTTATTTGATGTAAATTTCGTTTTTGTTACGTGCAGCTTCTGACCTACATAATCCTGGCTGCGGGTGCTATATCGACGGAGGTGGTGTACTTGGCCTATAAAGGGGACGCCACCATTACATGGAGCCAAACTTGCGGATCGTTCGGTGGTTTTTGCCGGAGGGCCACTGCATCCATAGCGATAACATTCATTGTTACTCTTTGCTATGCAGGGCTCACACTCATTTCCTCTTATAGACTTTTTAGCAAATATGATGCACCAGTTGCCTATACTAACAGAGGGGTTGAGATTACCACCTTCCACAGCTAATTCCACTCTCATCTCCGGCCAATCTCCACCGTCTACGCCCCACGGCCTATTTTACTGTCATCTCCTCCCAATCCCTTACTCTGACTAGTCTTGTAAACAGCACATCTAATAAAATGTAACATCTTTATTCAAGAGTCCCTTGCTTCCGTTTTCTGTGTTTAAATGTGAAACCTTGCTAATCAAAATTTCCAGGATCGAAATAAATGCTGTAACAAGAGTGAAACACTAATATAATATATCCATCAAGGTATGTTTTCAGAACACAGAAAATTCGCAACTCAATCAACAACCAGCACGATACAAATAGAGAATTTATACAGTAACAATCCTCGTGGACTTATAAAGCATCGGAAAACATGTAGCAGCAGCAGCAGCAGTAGGAATGCTTAATGTTGACAATATCAATATGCACTGGACCTTTGAGTCTGGCAGTTTCACCGTGCTTCATATTGGACAACTGCAAAGGGTATTAACAAATCATAGCATATTAGTAACAGTAAGTACCAAAGAGAAATTATGTGCACAAATATAAATAAGTGAATCTTCAATCAAGCTACAATCTCGATAAGGTAATATTGCATTTTCAAAGGGACAACATCATTGCCTGAAAAGGAACAAGACTAATCCTAGAGCTTAGAAGTACCCATATGAAGTGCAATATATTGATGTGAACCGTGTTCTGAAACCAATAATCCATTATAATTACAGCAGCGTAATGCACAAGACCAGCTTAACACAGGTTAAAACTGGAAACATATGATATTTGAGTCATATAAAGCACTATTTTTTCTAGGGCTGGGAATGGGTTGGGTTGATTTTGAGTCCAACCCAAATCTAAACCAACATGTTCGATTTGACAATAATTCAAACCGAAACCAACTCATTCAAGGTTGAAATCCAACCTAATCCAAACCTGTTAAAAGATTATACAATGATCAAATTAAATACATATTAAATCAATTTAAATACATGTTGAATTCATGCATATTATCTCCATTGAATAAAATGAATTTAACATAAATACTAAAAATATAAATCTCCTCCTTTAATCCAAATATTTAGTCTGAAATCATGTCAAAAAATCGAATCGAGAAGCCGAGGCACAAGCAACAATGAGATGCAGAAGATACGTGAGACATGGGAGAATTTTGTTCATGAGTTTGATTGAATTTTAATAGGTAATTCGGAACACAACCCAACCCGACATAAAATTTGATTTCACAACCCGAACCCAACCCAATTGAACTAAAAAACCAACCCAAATTGATTTGGGTTGGATTGGGTTGATCGATTTGACCGGTTCAATTTGGTTTTTGCCCAGCCATAAATTTTTCCTTTATAATTTCAACAATTTTCAAGAAGATCCCATGTTCTGTCGCTGGAGCTATCGCTCTCTACCACGGATGCCCACAGATAAGACTTCAATAAAAAATGATTTTAAGGCAACCACAATATTAAATGGCTAAAAATTCTAAAACTGAAATCAATGAATGGGGCCATAGCCGCTCTACCATATCGGGTTTTGATTAAAAAAGAGCCCACGGTTGTACATAATCTAGGTCAGACAATCCACCATATGAAATCCAAGAATATTAAAGGGCAGAGATTGTGATTGGAAGACTTGCAATAAGTTGAATATTTATTTTAACCAAAATCAGCCTACTTAAAAGGACTCCCGTCTAAAAAATCTATGCCCCCACTTCTGTTTGTGATGAGGTCCATTCAAAGCTCGAGTCTGCTCCATAGTGATTGCTCTCCATTCGTTTATTTCAAGAGCCCCCGTGGGTTGGTGGTGGTTCAGAATTTGTCTAAAATGAGGACAGCACACAACTTGCAAGAAAGAGAACACACAACTTGCAAGAAAGAGAACGCTCAACAAATAAAACGATGTTGGATTTGGAAGAGACTGTATTATTTATGTTTTAGGGTGTCAACTAGGCATGGCTGGGAAAAATTATTGTGATCTTAATATCCATAACAAGAAGAATATATAAAAAGAGCTAAAACCATATCTTTATCAAAAGATTTAGTTTAGAAGGCCAAACTAATTTATCTTTTTCCCTTTGCTCCTGGCTGTTCAATTATCTCAAGAAGTGCCAAAGCCAAAAAGACTTCAATTTATACCATAATAACCAGATGCAGTAGCCTTCAAATTGCCCTTAAAATTTCATCATTACAACAAGATGAAACTCAGCATTCTCACCTTCATATTTCAACTGCACATCATTAGCATTTTTGTTAAAGGTCGAATTTCATCAAATATTGCAACCTAGCATATATTTCACAAATATCATTTATAATACCCCAAAATATTTTATAGTCATTAATTATGAAAATTAGGACCTTAGTGCAAGATGATGAAAGATAGGGAATAAAATTGCATATCGATCAATAGTTGAGGGGCTGCAAGAATATAAATATTGGATGGAATTAAGTAAACTTCTTTCTTATATATGAAAAATAAGTTAGGAAGATTCGTTCCTAAATAAGTCAACTACCGTGTATGTGTGAATATATAATTATATATAATTACGATTGATTAAGTTAAAATAGAATATTACTATAATTATGCTCGTTTATATGTATAATTATATATAATTATGATTGATCGAGTTAAATTATAATATTACTATAATTACATACGTCTATTTATGTATAATTATATATAATTATGATTGATTGATTTAAATTATATAATTACTACAATTACGTATATCTATCTATATATGTATATAATTACATACAATTATGATTAATTGATTTAAATTCTGTAATTACTATAATTACGTGTGTCTATATATGTATATAATTATGACTCGTTGATTTTAATGATAGAGTTACAATAATTAAACGCATATATATATGTACATAATTATATGTGATTACGATTGTGTGAAAATTAAGTAAATTTCCTTATATGTGAAAGATAAGTAAACTATCATATATGCTTGAATATTATAGATATAATTATATATAACTATGATCGATTGATTTAATTGTATGATTACTGCAATTATGTGCTTCTATATATGTATAATTATATATAATTATGGTTGATTGAGTTCTATATATGTATAATTATATATAATTATGGTTGATTGATTTAAATTACTATGATTGTCTCACACTACACACAGAGTTTATAAACAATTGTTTGAGGTCAAGTTCTTTCAAACGTTTTTATGAAATACTATTCAAATTTAAGAGGTAAGTGTAGTCATATGATGTATGTTAGATCTTTTTCATACTTTAAAATACGCAATTCGATTTATAAATATGATATGAGTCCTATATGTTTAAGTTCAAAGGACCGGGGTTTAGTAGCGCTACGCACGGGAATTATAGCCATGGTTCCGATCTTAATTCTCGTATCTCCCTATGTATGTTATGATTATGTAAGGGGATTATGGTCACCTAAGTTCGGTCTTTAGTCCCCGTGTCTCCCCGTGCACATTAAGAATTCCTAAATTTTAAATATGAATTACGATTTTTATTTTTTTTTTATAACCGTGGATGTCCGGACCAGTTTGCGCGCACCTCGACATAATTATACATAATACACACACACACACACACACGTAATTATAGTAATCGAATAACTTAAATTATATAATTACTACAATTACATATATCTATATATGTATATAATTACATACAATTATGATTAATTGATTTAAATTCTGTAATTACTATAATTACGTGTGTCTATATATGTATATAATTACGACTCGTTGATTTAAATGATAGAATTACAATAATTACGCGCATCTATATATGTACATAATTATATGTGATCATGATTGTGTGAAAATTAAGTAAATTTCCTTATATGTGAAAGATAAGTAAACTATCATATATGCTTGAATATATAGATATAATTATATATAATTATGATTGATTTAATTGTATGATTACTGCAATTACGTGCTTCTATATATGTATAATTATATATAATTATGGTTGATTGATTTAAATTACTATGATTGTCTCACACTACACACACAGTTTATAAACAATTGTTTGAGGTCAAGTTCTTTCAAACGTGTTTATGAAATACTCTCCAAATTTAAGAGGTAAGCGTAGTCATACGATGTATGTTAGATCTTTTTCATACTTTAAAATACGCAATTCGATTTATGAATATGATATGAGTCCTATATGTTTAAGTTCAAATAACCGGAGTTTAGTAGTGCTACGCACGAGAATTATAGCCATGGTTCCGATCTTAATTCTCGTCTCCCCCTATGTATGTTATGATTATGTAAGGGCATTATGGTCACCTAAGTTCGGTCTCTAGTCCCCATGTCTCCCCGTGCACATTAAGAATTCCTAAATTTTGATTTATGTGACTCACTTATTGGGATTTTATCTCATTTTTATGATTTCTCCCCTTTTAGATAATTGAGGTTCAATAAATTGGAATTTGGAACTGGTCACTGGTGGTATAATAAAGATAAGATAATTTATGATTTTTTTTTTAATATAAATTTTATGATTAAGAAAGTGGTTTATTTTTAATTATTGTAACTTTGGGGATAATTATCTTTTATGAAAGTTCTATTTTTACAATATATATTTAACGACTCAAAGGGTAAGTTTTTGGTCATTACATCATTCCCTTTACAACCTAAATATGATAAAGTGTGCTCAATCTCTTAATCAGACATATTTCATAGAACAAATATGAAAAAGGTTCAGTAATAATGATCATGAAACTCCACTTCACTTTCCTCTATATAAGATTAAATTTACACAGTTTCTTAGAATAAACACCAGAACCCTGTTTCACTAAAAAAACACCAGAACTCATGGGTAAACCATTCTTTTCAAACACGAGAATTAATTTAAGCAAAAAGTTAAGTCATTGACAGCCATCCCAGAAAATAAAAAGAAAAGATCTTCCTCCAAAAACCAAGAACTAGTACAATAAACTAAGTCACATTCTCAAAATATTTGGGCCATAAGAGACAAAATGTAAAGTACAAAAAAAAATAAAAAAATATAGGCAACAAATTTAAGTTCAATAAAAACTAATTAAACAAAAATTACTGCAACAACAATAAACAATCAAACAAGGGCTTGGCTGACTTTGCTTTCAAGAAACCTTCTGATACCATATATAAAAAAAGAAACAAAACCCCAATATATTGTCACGTATCTCAATTGGGAGACCCCGACCCCAAAAGCTAACTAAGCCAGCTATTAAGGTTGGAGAGCCCAACCAATATAAACCACACAAAGGAAGCTTAAACTTCCGATGTGGGATTTAGGTGCCCACACACCCCAATGGGAACCATGACAAACCACCCCGCTTCCGACTCGGCGTCCACGTCGAGCAGGTGCTCATACACCCTGAGCGGTAACCGAGACCAGAAAACATCATACCTGCACTGAGTATGTCAGAGAACCAGACCCCAAAAGTTAGCTACCCAAGTCAAGCTTAAACTTCTGACGTGGGATTTAGGTGCCCATGCGTCCTGGGAACCATGACAAATACGCAATCCACTAACCTAGTTGTTAATCAATCGTAATAAACTACAAAATCACGAACAAAAAAAGAGCGAACAAAAATATATTCCACAATAAAGAAATTGCTGCAGTCGATAAAGAAAATTACTTCTGCGTGTACGTTTCTTGTAGAGAATGCGATAACCGCACTCGCGGCACTGAATGACGTCCCCTGGCTTCAGCGTGTTCTCTTGTCCACAATCTGCAAACCCAATTTAATCATTCTATAATCAGCTAAACATTAACCCCATACAAAATATCAAGAATACATTCAGAAACATCTTTACACGTGTATGTGTAAGTATATTTAGGGTTTACAGTACCTCCACAGATGTAGCTGACGGGTTCAGGCTGAGGATCCATTCTTAGATATCAAACACGCAGAAATTTAGGTCTTAAGGTCTCGTAATGAAGAGATTAGGGTTTATAAAAATAAATAGGGTTTTTGATTTTATTTTGTTCACTTGACCGAGTTTTTACCAATCACCGTTTGCCAGGTGTCCATATTAGTAAGATTTATGAGAATATTTCATTAAAGGTCATCCAACGTACAAGTAGGTTTCACATTGGTCACTAAATCTTTTTTTTTTTTTTTATCAATAATCAACCCTATTTATATTTATATTTAATCTTGATAGGAAAAATTTATTGCTTGGTCCAAAATTGTTTTTAGGACATGTCATTTTCTACCATGGAAGACTTAACTCTTTTAAAGAACCTATGCTAAATTGCATTGGGAAAAATAAAGTTGAATCGTTTGTTTGCCCCATGTGGTAATGGTTATAGATAGAATGGTCGAATATTGAAACAAATTAAAAGTTTGGAGATTAAAGTAAAATTAAATGGCTAACATTGAAATATACCTATAAGTTGGGTGACCTTTGGTGAAATTTCCCCGCAATTTTTGTAATATAGTAATATCTTTGAAATTTTCAACAAAATATTTTATAACTTGACTTTTGATTATTTACAAACATCAATTTCTTTAAAAAATTAATGATCCTGTGGAGGTGTAATCTAGAACTTGCTTCTTTATGTCTAGAAGAAAATGAGATGATCCATAAATTCGCATCAGTTACTTCGGTGAATAAAGATAATAAGAATGAATAGACTGTATTCCATTTTTAGACATTGTTTGGGAGAGATTTTTCTTCCAACAACAAACTTCTATGGAATCCTCACGTTTTCGTACATTTTAACCATAAAATTTTCAAAAAAAAATAATCTTGTATTAATGATATAAGTTGCTTGGTGTTCTTGAAAAAAAAAGTTCTTTATCAATTATTTTTATTTATTTATTATTATTTTTTTTTGAGCATAGAAGGGTGGCTTAGTTGAAACTTGAAACTCTTAACATAGTGAAATAACCAATGACAAAAGAGTAAGGTAGGGATGACAAAAGTTCTAACTCGTCTCGTTTGTATTGCCCATCTCGAAGTAAATAGGACAAGAATAAAGAACATGATCTCTGTCCTGAATTTCTTGAACCTATCTCGATTCTTTTTATTTTATTTTATTTTTGTAATTTTTAGAATTAAATTGTAATTTTAGTATCAAAAATGATATTGAAAAATAAATAATAATTAAATGAGATGCCACAGAGATTTTTTTTTCCCCAGCCATGCTTCGACTCCTGAAATTTTCCATTAAAAAATTAACATTCATCGCAAGAGATTTAAGAAAACAATTAAACAAGTATATAACAAAACTTGCCACCAATTTGTTCAATAGTGTCATCTCATATCTACCGGTCTTATCTTCTAGCATGTGGGTCGTTAGACAGTATTCTTGTTAATCATCTCATCTAAAATCTTAACATTCGTTCAAGCATTCATATTTATGGCCTCATTGTAACGTGAGAAAATTTTCAGTACACACATTTAACTGATACGTATATTAAATAACTGGAACCCACTACCTAGACGTGACATGTCAATTAAATAGTGACAAGGAATACTGGCTTTCATTACTCGGAAATATGATAAGATAGAATCATCAATCCATATATGTGACCAAAAACAAGAAACAGTCAAAAATTTTGCTACTGAAAATCTGAGAAATAGTAGTGTGCAGTAACACAATACAAAGGTATCTCGAAAACAACGCAAGGATTTAAGGTTTTTGCAATACCATTACAGAAGTACCTTTATAGGAAATATTTGGCTAATATTATGAATAAGGAAACTAATGGTCACTTGTACCTTGATAAACATTACAATTAATGGAATTTTGACTTTAAATAAAGAGGGCCCACAAGAGTAACGAACAACTTATCGATCGGTTTACTTAGATTTGACCTTCATCTGTGATGACTGCTGCAGGCAGCATCCTCAACTGCAAGCAAAAGAGCTTCAGAATATTCGCAATTTAATTACAAAACAATACACAACTCTTTTAGGCAAAACATGAAACAGAAGATCAAACATAATTGATGATATTAGGCAGGAGCAGGACCATTATTCGGAGCAGCATTTTATGATGTGCTGTAATTGAAATACATGTACATGTTCTAAAACCTTAACCAAGATGTTCATCCTATGAACAATCATGGAAAATTAGATTCGCTGTGATCAATGTTCTTGCCTACCATGAAAGGAAATTAGGCAAACCTTAACCTTCTTGATCATAAATTATCTGATAAAATCTAGTTCTGAACTTTTTATCAAGATACCAACCGAAGAAAACTTGTTCAAACTTTGGGCTAAAACTGGCTCAATTTCATTCAAGCTATAGCTAGTTCTATATTTCAATAAGTATTTCGACAATAACAGATAAGAGAATTAATCTCAATCTTTCAAACAATTCTGACATTTTATTTCTCCTTCCTCTCGCACAAAACCAGCTTAATAAAAATTGAAGGAAAAAAAAAATAAAAAATAAAAAAAGTAACCAAACTACGTAATTAGGAAAGTAGGTCTTCTATTCGTTCAAACTCGATATATATACAACTTTTTGTTAGGATCTGAGCTAAACTAGTTCCCGCAGTGACCAAGCAGATGCAAATGCTTCCACCAACATCCCAAATGCAGAAAACGATGCCCAGGGCACATTCACATTATATTACTAACAAACCACTTTTGGCCAACCAAAATATTGGGGGAGAGGGGGGTTGAAAGGAGTCAAAAGAACATATAAACATTCAGCAAACTGGGTGCAAGTGTTCCAAAATCTTATCTACTACTGACAGGAGAATAAGCTAGTTCATGCAGGATCGTCAACCCCTGAAGGAAATGATAAAACAAGGCTGGAGGTATTGATTATCATTGCATGAGTTCTTAAGAGATTATGAAAAATACCAGCTGTCCATGTCTCTGAACTTGAATTTCACATTCAGTTCTAACTCACATTTTAGCTGAATGAGTCGCGTGCCAAGAGTTTTCGACCAGGAGTCAGATGGTCATCCTGCAAACAAGTCATGTTATGTAATGTTCTCAAAGATTTAAAGGATTAGTAATTGAGGAAGCCTGAAGACATTAGAACAGGACAGAAATGGTCCAAAGGCTGAGATACAACATCCTTTGCATGAACAAAAAGCAGAGGGCACAGATAGTTGCAGTTTTAGAGAGTATCTTATTTTCATTGTAACGTGAAACACTAGTCAGAACATGCAACCGGATTTTTTCTTCTTTCATGTTTGTCATCTTGTTCCACAATTGTGTGACAATGACATTTTATAACTTAAATGTTTTATTATTATCAACCATCCCTCATACGGATTCTATTATTAAATGAAAAAAAGGCAGACTTTGAAGAAAAAGTTGAAATAGAAGAAAAATGAGAAAAAAGAACACGAGCCATTCCGATAACAATCAAGGACAAAACAGGATACTGTTAAAAGATAACTTCATATTATCATAGGTATTCACCAACCTTGTGCATGGATGCAGCTGATTCAGATTCCCTGGTTTCAATTGGAACTTGTGCTAGAGATTGGAAAGCATCCAAAGCATCTAGTGTCAGCTGCCAACCGCATAGTGCCTGAGCACCAGCACTGGAACCAGAGCCGCTGCTGCTGCTGCAGCCAGCTGCGGCAACATTTCCATTCACCCATGGACAGAAGTGATTATGATGCTTGATTGGATCGAATTCAACAACTTCCTCATAGTTGCATCCACCATTTGGTGGCCCTGAACGATGGTTACACATTCAAGAAATCACTGAACGTTGAACGATGACAAATTTAAAAAAGAAACAGCCAGTAAGCCAGATAAGAGGTAGCAAGCTAATCATTTGACTGATAATCAATCATGCAACCATGACATGTGATATGGAAACTGCTAATCACAGCATTATGATCTATTAGTCTGACAAGTTTTTAATATCAATTTGAGGTTATTTAAATAGTTTCAAATGTGGCCAACTAGAGGGAACAGTTTGAAGTGTGAATTGCATTTAAGATTTCAAAACTGAACACGCTGTCCTTCATGCAGTCCCATACATATATATGCATCTTTAAAATAGCAATTAGTGTTCGCATCAAGTTTTCACAAGTAAAGAGAGCACCAGGCTCTTCCAGCACAATGATTAGGTTGTTGGTTGTTCTAACATAAAACATTTCAAGAATAGAAAAAGTTGTCTCATTTAAAGCGCAGTGCAAGAATAAAGTTTTCTAAATTCAGAACAAAGAAGGCATACAGAAAGTAACAAACTAAAAGAAAAGATACATGATGGGAGGAATATGAAGAGAAAATATTTACCCTAAGAAAACATAGTGTCTTCTAAAGAAAGTGTTAATAAGGTGCTAGGACAAAGATTGAACTAAGAAAAAAAAAAGGCAAAGGTTAACTCTGCTTCCAAAAATAACAATAATATAAGAACAAAAGGGTAACTATTCTCTTAAACATCAACAAGTAGTTTAGTAACTCTACAGGTCTCAAAATCAAAATTAAATGGTTGAAGATTCATCGGTAATGGGAAGAAACGATTCAATCTTTGTACCACTTTTTTAAGCACACTATATGCAAGAGGATCATGTGATCAAAGCAACATTAAAAGTCTTTAATTATTGTTTATCCATAATTTTCTTTTTTTCAAAGCTCTAGAGCAGTGGATCATGTCATTCTATAAGGAAACTCTTGACAATTCTCCAATAAAAATTGTCCCTTGAAATTTGGACTAGATTAACTATACTGAAAATAAGATTAGAAT